AAGTCTCTTGGGTCTGGTTCAGGCTTGGGATCTAGACATTAATCTGCTCCTCAGGACTGACTTTCTGGCAAGCAGCGGAAGTTGGTAGAGTGGGCTTACTTGCCTTTCTTCTGGTTTGGCATAGTGTCCTCAATGGCTGGCACAATTCTTCCCATGTGGCTGTCCCTTAGTATTTGCCTTCTGCTCTTGGTTTATTGCTGCTGTGCGAGTCTTTACGAGCATGTTGCACATACCAAGAATAGAGGAAATGATTCGTAGAAAAGAAAAAGGCCGGCTTCTCAGTGAATGGGGGTGAGCCAGGAACAGGAGCTTTCTCAGTGAAGTCACAGAAGTGAGAGGCAGCTTCTCGGGGCTTCAGGGAGTTGGCAGATCCTGAAGCAGAGCAAATACACTGAATTGTGACCATTCTCTAGGGGCCACAGAGGTTTTGAAGGGCTTTTATTAGGGCAGATGAATTGTGTCAGCCGGGTAGACTGTCAGAACCATGTAGCTGTACTTCTAAGGCCCAATCAGCAGGCCTACAGGGATAGTGATGGTGACAAAGTGGAGGAGCCTGCTCTAGAAGGTTAATGTCTTGTCATAGAAAGTATGCTACAGTTAGAAAGATGGATGATTCCAGGCCCTGGCTATACTGTGGGCATATGGTGGCACACCCATAGTCGGAAGCAGCCTGATGGTCTGAGCTGTTTGGGAGCCCATTATGTAAATCTGTACCTGACCTGTGACTCTGGAATGCAGGAAGATCCTCTGCTGGGTTCTAGGGTTTTCTTTGCCATTGAACTGTCAATCTCTCTGGACTCATCTCTGGTCAGCATCAAAGACCTTGCAGTTCTCGAACCTACGATTTGCAAGTTAGAGTAGTGTCAGTAGTGTGGGTTATTTCACCCAAATAGTTCTGTACAATTTTTGAAAAACAACTATACTTTGGTCTCACTAATGGTCTTACAAAAATTTTGTGAATCCTGGAATCAAATGCAAAATGGTATGCGTGAAGTTTTCTGGGGGCCAGAAGGTAGCCTGTGTCCAGTTTGCAAGAGTTCATGACTCAAAAGGCTATTAGACACCTCAGCTGAGTGAACGTGGAATTTGAAGATGCTCCTTCAGGGCAGCCAACATGGGGGAGCCATCATTCCTAGACCTGTGTTGTTTTTTGTAAGTTGACTTTTAGAAACCACAAAAACATTGGATTACCTCAAGAATTCGTCGACATCTGTGATCATTTAGAAAGTGCAGCTATCAGTAGGGTCAAGGTAGGAAGGCAACTGGGGCATTGAGAGAGGTATGTTACCCCTGCTACCTACTGCTGCCAATCATCCCAGAGAAGTTGCTCATGATTGGAAATGGAAATTATCTGGTACCCCCTCACAAATTACTGGAAGATAGCACCCTTTTCTGCCTTTGCATACCCCCAACTTCCCTATACAGTGAGCACACTTGATTTCAAGCTCATGCTGCTTGGGTAGCATGCGTAGAGCCAGTTTTTGAAAATACAAGAAAGGGTGGTTTTGGGTTTTTTTAGTAACTAGACTGTTCCCTGTTGGATATCCCCACTAGGAAACCTGTTCTCAGTGCAGTCTGCAACTTGCATTCCTTTGCATATTACAACAATCTGATCTTGAATTTATGTCACTCAAAATAGTGTGCTCCCTCAGTGCACACTGTGGTTCGTTAGTTACAAGGCTGGATGCAGAAAAGGTATGGTATAGACTTAATGGCAGATGGCCATAGGTCCTATCACCAGAAGACTCAGCTATTCAACAAACTTGACCCGTTTTTTTGTTGTTGTTGTTGTTGTTGTTTTGGTATTATAACCATGAACTAATTTTTTTCTTTTTATTGTTTTTATTGAGCTATTTATTTTTCTCTGCTCCCCACTCTTCCTCCTCCTTCCCCTTCTGCCCTCTCCCATGCTCCCATTTTACTCAGATCTTGTCTTTCTCTACTTCCCATGTAGATTGGATACATGTATGTCTCTCTTTGGGTCCTCTTTATTGTCTAGGTTCTCTGGGATTGTGAATTGTAGGCTGGTTTTTCTTTGCTTTGTGTCTAAAAGTCACTTATGAGTGAATTATTATATTTGTCTTTCTGGGTCTGGGTTACCTCACTTAATAAGATGTTTTCTAGATCCATCCATTTGCCCGCAAGTTTCAAGATGTCATTTTTTCCCCCGCTGTGAAGTATTCCATTGTGTAAATGTACTACATCTCCTTTATTCGTCCTTTGGTCGAGGGGCATTTAGGTTGTTTCCAGGTTCAGGCAATGGCAAACAATGCTGCTATGAACTTAGTTGAGCACATGTCCTTTTGGCACGATTGAGCATCCTTTGGATATATACCCAAAGTGGTATTGCTGGGTCTTGAGGTAGGTTGTTTCCTAATTTTCTGAGAAATCACCACTGATTTCCAAACTGGCTGTACCAGTTTGCAATCCCACCAGCAATGGAGGAGTGTTCCCGTTACCCCCCATCCTCTACAGCATAAGTTGTCATCAGTGTTTTTGATCATGGCCATTCTTACAGCTATAAGATAGAATCTCGGAGTTGTTTTGATTTGCATTTCTCTGAAAGCTAAGGAAGTTGAGCATTTCCTTTAAGTGTCTTTCAGCCATTTTAGATTCCTCTGTTGAGAGTTCTTTGTTTATGTCTGTACCCCATTTTTTATTGGATTGTTATTTTGTTTATTACATATTTTTTTTAAGGGATTCTATTGCTTTCATAAAGTCAATTTTTTCCACTTCTTCTGTGTTAGGGTGATCAAATCTTTCTGTTGTAAGATCTTTGGGATCTGGTGTTTTCATGTTGTTTTTCTGATTAATGGGTGATGTTCTGCCTTGGCGCCTGCCCATCTCCTCCTTTCAATGCTATCTAATTGGTCTTTTAAAATCAGATCAGGTTTCTCTGCTGGCCAGAGGCTTCTCTTACTAATTGCCCTCGCTCTGTTTCCTGGCTCCTGCTGGGGGCCAAGAACCCTCTCACCCCTAAGAAGGGTTTTCCGGAACCGGTCCCGGCTCCCCGTTTGCCAGGGCCCTCGCCAACCAAAGGCCTACCTCTTTGATTTAATTGTAGTGGGGCGATCTGCTCTCGGTGTTGCGCGCTGGTCCCTGCCGCCTGCGACCTCTGCTGCCGCGCTGGTCCCCTCCAGTCTTGGCGGCAGCCGTCGTTGCCTGCCTGCGCCTCCCAGCTCCGTCTGCCGGCGCGTGCGCCTCCCTGGATTGTTATTTTGATGACCAATTTTTTGAGTTCTTTGTATATTTTGGAGATCAGCCCTCTGTCCAATGTGGAGTCGGTGAAGATCTTTTCCCATTCTGTAGTCTGCCTTTTTTTTTTCTTGTTGACCATGTCCTTTGCTTTAAAGAAGCTTTTCAGTTCAAGGAGATCCCATTTATTAATTGTTTCAGTGTCTGTGATGCTGGGGTTATATTTAGGAAGTGGTCTCCTGTGCCAATGCATTCAAGTGTACTTTCCACTTTCTCTTCTATGAGGTTCAGTATGGTTGGTTTTATGTTTGATCCATTTGGACTTGAGTTGTGTGCATGGCAATAGATATGGATCTGTTTTCATTCTTTTACATGTTTATATCCAGGTATACCAGCACCATTTGTTAAATATGCTTTTTTTTTTTTTTTTTTTTTTTTTTTTTTTNGTTTGTAGGTGTGTCGATTGATATCCGGGTCTTCAATTCTATTCCATTGGTCTTCCTATCTGTTCTTATGCCAATACCAGACTGTTTTCAGTTTTCAGTACTGTAGCTCTATAGTAGAGTTTGAAGTCAGAAATTGTGATGCCTCCAGAAGTTCCTTAATTGTACAGGATTGTTTTGGCTATCCTGGGTTTTTTTTTTACTTTTCCATATGAAGTTGAGTATTGTTCTTTTGAGGTCTGTGAAGAATTTTGCTGGGATTTTGATGGGCATTGCATTGAATCTGTAGATTGCTTTTGGTAAGATTGCCATTTTTACTCTGTTAATTCTACCTACCCAAGAGCATAGGAGATCTTTCCACTTTCTGGTGTCTTTTTCAATTTCTTTCTTCAAAGACTTAAAGTTCTTGTTATACAGGTCCTTCACTTGTTTGGTTAGAGTTACTCCAAAATATTTTATGTTATTTGTGGCTATTGTGAAGGGTGATGGTTCTCTGATTTCTTTCTCAGCCCATTTATCATCTGCATAAAAAGAGGGCTACTGATTTTTTTTGTTAATTTTGTATCCTGCTACATTACTGAAGGTGATTATGAGTTGTAAAAGCTCCTTGATAGAATTTTGGGGGTCGCTTATGTAAACTATCATATCATCAGCAAACAGTTTGACTTCTTATTTTCTGGTTTGTATCCCGTTGATCTTCTTTTGTTGTCTTATTGCTCTAGCTAGAAACTTAAGAACTATATTGAATAGGTAAGGAGAGAGTGGACAACCTTTTTCTTGTTCCTGATTTCAGTGGGATTGCTGGAAGTTTCTCTCCATGTAGTTTGATGTTGGCTGTTGGCTTGCTGTATATTGCCTTTATTATGTTAAGGTATGTTCCTTATATTCCTGCTGTCTCCAAGACCGTTATCATGAAGGGATGTTGTATTTTGTTTGACCTCATCTTTTGACTTCACATGTGTACACATACATGGATACATCCATGAATATCTGCCTAAGTGCACACACACACACACACACACACAAAACCCAGAGATAGTTGTGCCCAGGATCACTTCTGTTCTTAATTTGGCCTCAAACTCCTGCTCTCCCAGAGATATCCAGGGCCCAAAACAGAATCCCAGGAACTTCATGCAGCACAGAGGTTGGGGATGTGATAATTAATGGTCAAGGACCTTCTCAGGGGTAAAGATTATGCTGTTCATGTGAGCTCCATGTAGTCACACAAGCCCTTGAGAGTGGAGAACTCTTCGCTGAATAAAACCAGAGGGGCCGGTTACTGCTGGTTTTGAAGAAGGGAGCTCTTATAGAAATGGCCCCCGTGTTTGTTGCTTTTCTGTTGCTGTAATAAGACACCAGAGCCAAAGGCAACTTGAGTTTATTTTGACTTCCAGTTGGCGTCCATGACTGTAGAGTGGCATGGTGCAGAACCAGGAAGCTGAGGCACTCGTTGAACCCACATGGGAAGCAGAGAATCAAGGCAGACAAAGCCTGCCCCCAGTGACACACCTCCTCCGCCACGGCTGCATTGCCTAACCCTCCCCAAAACAGCATCACCAACTGGGGACTAAGTGTTCAAGTGTCTAAGACTAAAGGGGACATTTCTCATCAAACAACCACCATCAGCACCCACTTGTCTTTGAACAGCTGGTGCTCAGTGTGCAGCAGTCTCTGAAGGTTGTGGACCATCAGGGAAGTGGAGCCTTGCTGGCAGAAGTGGGCCACTGGAGGTGGGCCTTGAGATCGCCCCACTTCCCATGCGCTCTGCTTCCTGGTAGGAAAGTCACACGAACAGTCATCTCCACTCCTGCCACCGTTGTGGACAATCCCTTTGAACTCTAAACTCCTCCCTTAAGTTGTTCTTGTCAGATATTTATAGCCACAGAAATAATAAAAGTCATACAGGGGCCATGGGTCAAGGATTGTCAAACTAACAGAAGTTAAGAAGTGAGTACTAGCTGAAGGCTGGGGAGGGGTGGGGGGAGGAAGGCAGCCTGACAGCTCCCAGCTTCCTCAGAGGGCCTTGAAGCCAATGCCACATCCTAAGCACCTGTCCTGGTCCTTTGCTGGGCTCACTGCTAAGGAGCTGAATGGTAGCTTCTGCTGCTGTTTCCCTGGCAGGAACCAAATCCAAGAAAAGATCAGGCAGCCAGGGAGAGCGGCACTCAGCTCAGCTCTTCCCATGGTCCAGGAACAATGGTGAGGTGCGGTCTTCTCGGCTGAGCATTCGGGCCTTTCATAGGGTGCTTAGCTCTGGGAAGGGGACTTGATACATGGTGGGTACCAAACAGGCTTTTTTGTTTGTTTTCAATGAAACCATTTTCAGACTCATCTCTACGCATTTCCTCACGCTTGCCTTAGCTTCCAGTCATCCTATCCATCAAGAATCTCATCCATTTCCCCTTTAAGTCACCTCACCCTGTAACCTTGTCCTTCCCTTTCATGGCGGCCCTCTAAGCTAAGCCCTCCGCTGGGGCTCCTCTAGCGCTCAGCTGTTTGTGTCCCGTCTTTTATCGACATGATTTCAGAGCAGAGAGTCTCATCTGGGAACATCCAAACCTTGCTCTGAGCAAGCCTTCACACGTAGCTGCCGGGTGACCCAGGAGTTAAGGGGCCCTGGTAAGTTGCCATCGAATAAAAAACACCTCCATGTTTGACAGTAAAAGAATCAGTGCCCCCTTGAAGCCATTTCGCCTACCTTCTCCCTCCTCCACCTCTCTGAAGCCCCATTCTGTCATCTGCTATACGGAATTCAGAGAGTCCGCGCCTGCTGCCCTGTTGACCTAAATATAATCTAGTCCTTAAAGAGCTTGGTGTGTCCCAGCTCTGTTATGGACTAGGTAAACTATCTCCCTGCCCGAAGACCCATTGGTTAAAGGCTTGTTCCCCACGGCACTACTGGGAGGCTACAGCAATCTTCTTTATCGGCCTGTGTAGGGTTTTTTTTTAATATGTTGTTCATTTATTCTGAATCTTCTCATTTGTAGCTAAAACCATAGGATTTCAGCATACCAGATTAAACACAGCAAAATTTAACCAGCACAGGTTTTAGTGACAAATGGACCCATACTGTGGACACAGGTAACTAGCAAGTACTTATATTTACTGTTTTTCTAAATGTTTATATTTCTTTACTGTGATATCTTCAGATTAGAGATTTAAAGTCTTTTAGATGGCAAAGGTGTTATGTGGAAAAGTTATTACATAGCCCTTCTGTGTCTTGGAACCAAATGGGTTTTTGAATCATTTAGGAGACACCCTCTGTACCTGTCTATGAGGCAAGGAGTTCCCAGAGAGTTCCAGCTGAGGAAGGAAACTCACCCTTTTGGATGGGGTGGCACCATTCCATGGGCTGGGGTCCCAGAATAAATGAAAGGGGAGAAAGGAAAAAGCTGAGTCCTAGCATTACCCTTTCTCTGCCCCCTGGTCCTCAGAACTGTGGGAAGCAGCCCCACACTCTACCCCTGTGCCTCACCTGCTACAAAATGAACCCTCACCCTTCAGGGAGCTCTTGTCAGCACCAGTAGAGTAGCTAAGACCAATGTGGCAGAGCCTGGCGCCCGTACCGGGTGGGGCCTCGTGAGAGGGCCCCGGTCCTGGGGGAGGACTGGGTGTTTCCCCCTCTCTCCCTGGGAGCAGCCTGACTCTACCACATGCCCCCCCATGCTGTGCTGCCCCACCACTCAACTGACACCCAAAACAGGGAACACAAATAAGCTTTTTTAAATACATAAATTGATTGCCTCAGGTATTTCATTAGCGTGCCCATCCTGCCCAAGCCCAGAATTGCCTCTGATGACAAGGCGCCTCCAAGAGACGACTTACTTCGGAAGATGGCAAGGAGTTTGCTCTCCTAAAACTCATTCCCATCCAGACAAGGATAAATGTTCCAACAGAGTCCAGAAGAGAACCACATATGCCTGGAAAATCTGCCTCTATGGAAAGACTTTTCGTCTCTTTATACCACAGATTGTTTTATTTTATTGTTCTGGATGAAGGGGGGGTATATTTATTGAAAGCCAAAGGGGGAGGGGGGGGAAGGAGCCCAAGAATTATCAAACAGTAGCTAAAGTAATTTATGCATGATCTTTGAGCGCAATGCATGTGCTTATACATAATTTAAAACTCAGACAAAAGCATGCTTCGACAACTGGGCGCAGCTCTAAAGCTGAATCACTCTGGATGAGGACAGGATGGAAACAGTTCCTGGCACCTAACACAGCGATCTGAGACCCAACGCCCAGCCCAGCTTCTGTCCGGACATCACAGCCGTACTTCACACAGCCTGGCTGGCTTCTGATTTCTCTGTGCCATTGAGAAAGGCCTTCCCTTGTGGCTAAACGACTGCAAATTTCATTTATAACCCTGGCCCTGCAATTACCCAAATGTCCTTCCTGTGAATTAATTTACACAAACGGCCCTCCAATTACTGACTTTTCGGAGTTATTGAAGCAAATGGCAGAGGGCAGTGTCCATACCACTGGCCTCCACGCTGTTACTTCTAACCTTAGAGGGATGTGCAAACTGGCCTGGCTTTAGTTCCAGGTGCGAAAGAAAGGAAGGAAGAAAGGAAGGAAGGAAGGAAGGAAGGAAGGAAGGAAGGAAGGAAGGAAGGAAGGAAGGAAGGAAGGAAGGAAGGAAAAAAAGAAAGAAAAGAAGAAAAGGATTTCACTCCCCTCCTTTTGGAAGTACTGTTGGGGGCACCAAGGCTGGTATGGGGGGGAGTGAGAGAACAAGGGGCTTGGTGAGAAACCCACTCTGGTTTGCTCCCAAGCTGCGCGGGGTGGACTGAGCGGATGTGAAGGGCATGCTGACAGTGAGGTAAGAGGAGCAAAAAGAGAGGGTGGAGGGATGAAGGTGTGGGAGGCCACAAGAACAGCCTTGGCCCACAGAAGGGACACAGTACAAACGCAATGGCTACATTTTGCCAGGTCCTTGTTTGCAGGGCAGGCACCCTCCTCCATATCTCCCCCGGGCCGACCATGGGCAGACTTTACCCCTTTCTGTCTTCTCCTTTCAATCAAATCTGAACAAAACAGAACATCTGGCCATGGTGTGGGGTGGCTCGCCTTTGCCCTCCCCCACCCCATCAGTCTCTCCCAGCCCCAGAGCAGCGGGGCAGCTGGAACAAATGTACTTGCGCTGCACCTCGTCAAGCCAGGGAAAAAGCTACCGGGAAGGAGCTCTGGAGAATGCCTGGCCAGCCCCACACCTAGGGGACACTCCGGGGAAATACATTAGTCATGTCTATTGCACATCTACCAGCAGCTCAGCTGGGTCTGAGTCTAAATCTCCTCCCCACCCAGGGACTCCGCAGGGGCAGGCTCCCCAAACGCCATCTCCTGGGCCAGGCTCTGCTCCAGGTTCTCCAGCTCCTGGCGCACCTCCCCTATGAAGCCGCCATCTTCATACTCATCAGGGGTCTCCCTGGGCAGCAGACTCTCCTCATTTTGGTCGTGGCTACCGATGAAGGCTGCCTTGCACACGTACACCAGACTGTGGCTGGGGAAGAAGGTTGAGATTTGGTCAAGGTTCTCTCTGTTATCCTGGAGAGCAAAGCCAGGCTTGGAGCATGTCAGGTCCATGTGAAGCCTTGGGCTGTATTCTGTGTGGGCCTTCAGACCTCACTACTTCCTGTCAGGGTGCATCCTGTCACCACCATCTTACTGAAGAGTCAGCAAGGAGAAAGTCCTCAAGGGCCGTCACAGGCCTCCTCTTCGGGCCTTGTCTGCCCTGATGTTGGAGATTTGGAAGTTCACTACCACATGGAGTCCCCTCAGCCCTCTGCCCATTTGGGTTTCAAGAAGGCGGCCCAATGTAACCCCACGTCTGCTGCACACATGGTGACCCTGGGCCTCTGAGAGAGAGGAGAGGGGAATTCTGGCTTTCTTCCCTGTGCCCCTAGAGTCTGGTCGAACAGAAGGCTGAGAAGAGGGTGTGGGTAGGACAGAGATGTAGAGAACAGCTCTGCCAACTCTGAAGCTTCAGTTTCATGAGCCTCTAACCTACAGGTGCCCTCCACATTGGTGGTCCACCCCTCTTCCATGCCAGCTTCCTCTCCCACCATGATGGTGTGGTCTGGGCTCCTTCCCTCCACACCCTCCCCCTAGTGACCTACCCCACACTCAATCAACATCTCTTCCTAGCCAAACCTGCTTCTAAGTCCCCCTGGATGACATTTTTCCTGCTCTCAGGCCCCGGTACAGTCACAGACGGGACCTCACCTCTGAGGCTGGCAGAGGAGTCCACTGGCACAGGGGCATCGGTCCAAAGCGCCTTCAGGCTCCAGTTCCCAGGTGATGAGGTCCAGCAGCTGGCTGGCAGGGTCATGGCAGAGCTCCCCCTCCACAGGCAGGAATGTGCACACGGGGAACAGCAGGCCTGGAGCAGCCAAGCGTCACCGTGAAGACAGACACAGAAACAGACACAGGCTTGCTCTCCTCCCTCAACCCCACGTGAGGAAAGAATCAAAGGAGTGGACAGACTGAGAAGGATAGTGTACAGTTGGGATGAACTAACCCCTGAGGATGGATCGGTGACGGGGGTCTTGCTTGAAGAGCGGAGCTGGGGGTTGGAGGCCAAACCACCAGAGGAAATGAAGAGTGAAACCAAGACCTTCTAGCAGGGGCAGAGTGATGTGGGATTCCCCTCTGTATGCTGTGAATATCATTGGCTAACAAGGAACTGCTTTGGGCCTATAGCAGAGCTACAGGGGAACAGAGCTAAGTGGGGAAACTCTAAACAGAACGCTTGGAGAAAGGAGGTATAGAGTCAGAGAGAAGCCATGTAGCCCCATTGGAGCCAGATGGAACTTTAGCAGGAAAGTCACAGCCACATGACGATACACAGATAGATAGAAATGGGTTAAATTAATATGTTAGAGTTAGCCAATAGGAAGCTAGAGCTAAGGGGCCAAGCAGTGATTTAATTGATACAGTTTCTGTGTGAATATTTCGGGGCTGAGCAGCCGGGAATCAACTAGCTGCTTCCTCCTGACAACAGCAGAGAGCTAATAAGGGCCTGGGTCAGGGCAGAGGGATGAGTCAAGGAACAGAAACAAAGAGGACAGAGGAGCTGGGTGGGCCAAGGCCTTGGAAGAGGGAGGTGACAGACATTAAGAGGGGGTGGGGCAAGCTCTGGAATGCTGTCCTCTATGCAAATCATGAGGTGGCAAGCACAGGAAGGGACAGTAAGGTTGGGGAAAGGGAGCTGGGGAGGAGCTAAGAGCTTTCAGACACACTCCTGGCAAAGGAGAGGGCCTCGGAACTGAAAAAGAGAATCTACACAAAGCACCCAGGCCAATGGTGCCTTTGTGGGATGTGGGTGGGGAGGGGCTTCTGGGACCCCACCCATCTGGGGGATGCTTCTCCTGCCCTGGACTCAGGCATCCTAAAGGAACTTAACTTGCATAGTCAACAACTGGGGAAAAACAAAGCAGGAAGTTCTCTCCCTACTCTAGGAAGAGACTGTGGGGCTGGGACACACAGTGGAAGCATCTGAGATGCTGTCGCAGGGAGGCAGGACCCTGAAAAGATGTGGGTAGCATTCTGAGGCCCAGCAGAGCCTCCTGAGCGGTGAGGACCGATTTCCCCAGCACCTCCTGGGGAACACACATACCTCTTTGGAAGGCACAGCACAGACCAGGTTGGCAATCCCTCTGGTTGTCACAGATGGTCCCGTTGCTACCCTTGGTGGCCTTTTTGGTACAGTGACCCCAGACACACAGCTGGTCTCCACAGCACTCGCTGTCTCGGGTGCACAGCTGCAGAGAATTGAAGAAAACACAAGGCCCAGGGCATCACTAGTCTGGAAACCTGGGCAGCTGGTGCTTCAGCCTGCTTGGCCCAATCAAAGATGGCTCACATTAGTGGAAACTGAAGGAGGTAGCTTGGAAGTGTGGCTGTTGGCACAAGAAGGGTCAAAACACAGGAAAAATGGTACCTGAGAAGATGAATGTCTAAGTCTTTCCTACCCAGGTCAAAGACTTTACAAAGAGAACCTGTGTATCTTTGGCGCCTCCAGCCCATGGCTCTATCCTTCACCCTTTTTATTTGTTGTTGTTGTTGTTGTTGTTTGAGACAGGGTTTCTCTGGGTAGACCTGGCTGTCTTGGAACTCACTACGTAGACCAGGCTGGCCTCAAACTCAGAGATCCACCTGTCTCTGCCTCCCGAGTGCTGGGGTAAAGATGGGCAGCAGCCCAGTTTGTCTTTCACCCGTTCTACGAGGCCTGCGGAAGGAAAGGTGGCTCAGGACCCAGGGGGAGGCAGCAGCAGTCTTACAAACCGCTAAGTCAAGTCAGAGTCTGGGGACAGCATGTGGGGAGCAGGGACCCAGAGACTCACAGGGAAGAACAAAGAGCAACAAGAGGTCCCAAGGACTGTGCCCTGTGATGGGGGTGGCCTGGAAGGACACCAGCAACTGCCTCACCAAGATGGAGCTGAACGAGGTCACAGGAACCCTTTATTTTCCAAATTTACTGCACTTTATTTTACTGTCAAAATAAGGGAAAATGTCAAGAGTTCAAGTTCGTGAACCCACAGCTTTGTCCCAAAGGTCTGCTGGGTGAAGCAGAGGGTTTCCTTTGCCTGGGCTCATGTTTCTCTCACAACCCACATTGCCGGGGAGTCCTCCAGCCTCCTCCTGGCTCCTCCCTCTACGTATTTATTAAGCAGACTGGAAGCTCGGGGACCTGGAGAGCAGCCCAAGAAAAAAAAAGTCCCTTGTCTGGGGACTGCATGTATGCACTACTATGCCTGCTGCTCTTCACTGTCCCAGAGGAAGGGACAGAGCCTCGCATCCTCTCCTCCCTCCCTCTCTTTGCTACCCATGAGTCACACAATATGAACAGAGATTATGGGGTGGAGCAGCTGCTGGTCTGCTAGAATGACACCCTGATTACTACTCCAGGTACCAAAATCTGGGACTCCTCCCCATCACTCAAAGGCTCTTGCAAGCAGGTGAGCTGAGAAACCCTGGGACTGCTAATCTTCTCGCCCTAGCACAGCAACAGAGACTACTGGTGTCTTTACCATCTGCTGGTCCCGGCACGGCTGGCAGGTGTACCGGAAGCTGGAGAACTGGCAGTACCTGGTGGGCCCACAGTCCTCATCAATGATGCATTCCTGGGAGGGTGGGAGGAACAGTTTTGTCAGGAAAATGCAGAGGTGTAGAAGATCCGAGTGCCCTGGAAGGGCAGAATCTGGGTTCATCCCCGTCTTGGGGGAAGCACGGCCCAGAAGTGTCTGCTGGCTCCAGCCACACCAGGGGCCTGCTCAAGCTGGTTGGTGCTTGTCCTCTACCCTTCAGTCCACACGAGGTCTATCTTCTCAAGACCCCAAGAGCCTTGAGCCGCCCACGTCCATCACACAATTGACCTCTATGTTCAGTGTCCCCCACATCCAGGGCTGCGTGCATGGGGACACAAACGTAGAACAGATGGTTTTAATAAAAGGTGCTAAAGAGTTCTAGGCCCTGTGCGACTGTGCAGAAAGGGCTGGAAGCCAGGCTCAACACAGTCCCTGCTGCCTAGGAAGATACCAGAGACCCCTCCCTTGGCCCTGGCCTTGGAGGCCACAGGCCTGCCCGCAGAGAGCCCTCCACAAGCTCCTGGCTTCTAAGAAGCAGTCAAGAGGCAAGGCAAACTTTAAAGTGGGAGTCGGATGGCTGGAACCCCACCCTCCCAGCCCAAGGGCCTTCTTATGGCTGCCAGCTCTGCTTAGCGAGGAACATCTGTCTGAGAGTCAGACCCACGGTTAATCTCAGCCACCGGAAACACGGGCCAGGAGTGGAAACAGTCAAGGACATCATCCATCACCCTTCCCTAGGACAGAACCTTCCTAGCAAGTGGGAGCTGGAGGTGACTTCTTCCATGTTGGGGAATGGTGGCACAGAGGGTCATGGCACCCTACAGGAGAGGCGGCTAATGCAGGCAGAGGGGTTATTTTCCACCACTGTCTTTGAGTAGAGGGGCCCAGGACCTAAATGCAGTAAGCAGAGATGAGGAGGGCTCCTGAGCTCTGGCAAGCAGTCTAGAAAGATCTCTATGAAGAATGGAGTCTGCCCCATTTCCATCTCGGGGCATCCTCCATCCTGAGACCCAGTGTGGAGCCCTACATGCCAAAGCATGGTAGGTCAGGCAGGACCTCAGTGCCTGGGATGGTTCTCAGCTTCATTCTGTGAGTTGAGGAAACTGTACCAGTGGGTATGGAGGTATCTTGGGGGCCTGTGGCCCTGAACATGTGCGAGCTGGGTCTCAGCAGACAGGCCCTGGTTCTCCTACTATTCTTTTTAATGTTGTTGTTGTTTGGTTTGGATTTTTTTTTTTATGGCGATAGGGTTTCCCAGTAGCCATGAAGCCTGTCCTGGAACTCACTCTGTAGACCAGGCTGGCCTCAGGCTCACAAGGATCTGCCTGCCTCTGCCTCCCAAGTGCTGGGATAAGAGGCGTTCACCACTATTGCTGGGCAACTATTCTTAAGTGTTATTACTGAGGATATTGAGCAGTAGCTGGTGTCCTTGACCCTGGTCTGACTGTCCCCTGGCCAATGCTGCAGGTCTGAAGAGATGGGTGTATGGTTCAGGACAGTTGCAGGCCTAGCACTAAGCTAAGGCCCCACCAGGGGGAGCCTGGACTGCGTTCTGCTCACCAAGCCAGGAAGACAGAGACATCTACAACATCATCCCCCAGCCATTTCCGAAAGGTGACAGAGGAGAGGCCTGAGTCAGGATGCCTATGTTTGACATAGACATGTGTCTCACACGCCAAGCAAGGTCTGGGCTCACCAGGGGCTCACACCAGAAGATTGTGTACTGCAATTTCTCAACAAAACGCCAATGGAGATCCCATCACCTGACACCCCAAAAGCGACCTAACCTCACTGTCCTGCACATGGTGCAGGAGTCCTGTTCATCTAGCTCAGAAGCTGCAGGTCCCTTCCTCTCACCCCCACTGTGCTGGGCTCTGCAGAGAGCTGACAGTGCAGACCAGTTGTCACCCAGCACGGCAGCAGGTGGGCATCTTCCACCCCGACTTACTCAGCCCAGCAGACCAGAAATGTCAGGAGGGCCACCATTCTGGCTTATACTAGGAAGAAAACAGACTATCTCAAGCCAAGGAGCTGAGCCTACATCTGCTGGATCCAGGATCCCAGAGTGGCAAGAGAGGTCCACGAGGATATGAGTCAACCCTGTATCCATCATGTTCCCAGTCCTCCCACACACTGCACAAGTGCAGACTCCACAGATGCACGAGGCCCTCATATAAAAAGACATAGAATTTGCATCCAACCCACATATATCCTACTAAAAGCTTTATCATCTCTGGATTTAATACCCAATACAATGTGTATGCTGTGGAAATCATGGTTATATTGTACTGTCTAGGGAACAATGACGTCCACCACAAATGCTATTCCAAACAGGTTGGCTGTGGGTGTTAATCCTGCGGCGCTAAGACTGACTGTAAGACACAAGGTGTCCTTCCTGACACCTACCACACCCTCCCATACACAGGCCACAGGCTCCTGGCATTTCTCCCAAAACCTAACAGCAAGAGAACAGAGTGGGAGGGGGTGACATTTGGAAAGGAGGAAGAACCAGCAGGCACCAGGGACAGAAATGACATGGGGAGGTCTCTGCCTTTAATACATTCAAAATTTAAGCATGGGAGGGAACAAGAAGAAGGAGGATGAGGATGAAGAGGAAGAAGAGAAGAAGAAGAAGAGGAAGAAGAGGAAGAGGAGGAAGAGGAGGAAGAGGAGGAAGAGGAGGAAGAGGAGGAAGAGGAGGAAGAAGAGGAAGAGGAAGAGGAAGAAGAAGAAGAAGAAGAAGAAGAAGAAGAAGAAGAAGAAGAAGAAGAAGAAGAAGAAGAAGAAGAAGAAGAAGAAGAAGAAGAAGAAGCAGAAGCAGCAGCAGAAGCAGAAGCAGCAGCAGCAGCAGCAGCAGCCACCGCCAACTCTCTCAGTAGCAGGCAAATGTCTCACGTGAGGACAAGACCTGGTCCTCTAACCTTAGTGGAAGAAAAGGGAAGGTTGGCACAGCTAAGAAATTCAGCTTCTCTTTCCTGTGTCACAGCTGAGCCCACTCTACAGGGTCCTAAGTAGTCAACTGTGCCCAAGTCACCAAAAGGGCTGAGCAAGGGAAGAGGCTGGGGAGCTAGGAGCTCTGCTGTTTTCTGGCCATGGACTCTTGGTGCTGTGCTTTGATTTCTGAGGGCTGGGGACCTCCCAGGCCCTCCAACTCTTAGACTCTAGACCTGAAGGCAGACTGACACTTAGAACAGAGACTGAAGTCCAACAGCAGAGCGAGGAGCCTGGGCCACATCATGTGGCCTGTCCTGCAGAGGAGGATAGGGTGGGTCTGTCTCCAGACTTCAGAGCCAGTCAACTCAACACTACACAGGTCTCTTAACAGAGCAAGGCCTTGAGTGGTCACAGAAAAGTGCTGGCTGCCTCTAATACCCTCAACATGGTTAAGATTCCTATGCGCCGAAGTTCTCAGAAAAACAAAACAGCCACACGGCGATGAAGGTTCTACGGGGTAGATTCCCTGACTAGTGATTGTGGGGAGTCAGAATGTTGCCGGGACAGAGCCAAATTGTCCTGGGCTATTTTTGGCCCCATCACTATCTGTTCATTCCCACTAATATATTTGGCCTATCTCTGTAGCTTTTAGGCAAACCTTTTTGTAATGTCCTAACTGACTGTTAGCCTCTGTTAACCAACAGACAGACTGCCAGCTAACAATAGCCGAGGCCTATAGCAGATAGTTCCCCTCACCTATCTGCTGTACCTCCCAATGGATTTTTAAAGCGTCTTGATTTATGGCAGGTTTTTGCTTCTGTTATGAGAAAAAAAAATAATAGCCTTCATGAAACCATTACTACATTAGAACATGGAATTTATGCTAATCTGAATCCATGTTCCTGGGGCGTGGTTGCTCATATTTGGCTCCCAAATAAACTTTTATTCCCTTTTAGGTGATAGCTGTTTGTTGTTGTTGTTTGCTTGATTTCCTTTTTTGATATCAACATTCCCATCTCGGTTTTAAGGTCTTGAAAAGTCTGCCCAGGGTCACCCAGCTTGCCACAAGTGTCTCTTCCTCTCTGTAAACATCTCAGCGTGGACCCCCTCTTCAGTACCACAGCCTGGCAGCATCTGCCTGCACCAGGGCTGAGAGAGAAAACCAACACCAGAGGCTCTGCCGGCCTGGGTTGACAGGGGCAGCATGGGATTCTGTACAGCTGTAGCCATACTCTGTCTGTGTGTCCTGCTCCTCCCTCGGCCTGACAGACATCCCAGAAGCTGGAGAGGAGCTGCAGCCATTCCAAGGAGGCCTTTTTTGTTGTCAGGAGCTATATTTAGGAAACCAGGCACAAGGCCTGGAAGTGAAACCGAAAACAACGTGGACTGGGCCAGGGCTGCCTAGAAACCACTCCAGGGCTGCCTGGAAACCGCCCCAGGGCCTTGATGAGACCCTGGAAGAATGGGAAAAGACACAGGAAGCTCTTGGCATCTCTGTTAAACTCACAGTTCATCAGCAAAGAGGTCCTAGGAAGCAAAGGTCAAAAGCCTGGGGGTAGGAGGACAGCAACGGGTTCGCACAACTTCCAAGGCACCCGCTGGAGCCGGTGGCAGACTCCAGTTTGGGCTTCATTTTGCTGAGAGGAAAAGAGCCTCAGAGCCTCAGGCCATGGTGGGAGGCGAAGATTTCAACGCAAGTCTCTTAGATCCCTTAGGGGATCACTCTGTCTGCTGTTCTTATAAATGCCCCATTTGGGTTCGGCCAGATGGTTCAGCCCATACAAATCCTCACCACACAAGGCTGATGAGCTGAAGTTCTACCCTTAGGATCTGTGCGAAGGTGAACAAGAGAACAAACTCCACGAAGTTGTCCTCTGACCGCCACACTCATGCCACGACCACGCACACTCTGCCCCACAATAATAACCTATAAATTAAATGCTAATGCTCCATTTCAGATTTGCTCCCCCAGATCAAAATTTCGTGTTGACGTCCTAGCCACTAAAATATACTGGAATGATATCTCATTTGTATTTTAATAAATAAAGCTTGCCTGAAAATCAGAGAGTAAAACAGTTGCCCTGGTCAGCCTTACAGACCAG